AAGTCATTAAAATATTTTGCAGGTGGTTCCTTGAATTCATGGTGCCGCTGGATCCAGCCTAAAGGGGAAAAAAAAAAAAAAGGAGGAGAAGAGTCAAGTTCTGATGAAACACAAATTAACATAACTCATAGAAGGGAAAGAAAATCTGGTTTCAATCTCTACAACAAAGCCAAGCAACACATCAAGCTAGAAAGGAGAAATGTCAGCCAGGCAGTGCTGGGGATTTTATTGCTTTAGCACAAGTGTTTCTCCGCAGTCTCAGAAGTGCACAGGTGCTACTGCAGCAGCCAGACCCCCTGAGCACAGGTCTGGCCATGCAGTGACGTGGGAGGCTTCACAACAAGGCCCCTTCTTCCACATGACTAGAGGCTCAAGGTTTGTTTTAATACCCTGGCATTAGAACTTGTCTATTGGTCTCAGTCTCTCCTCTGCATGGAAACTCTCCATGTGATGCACCATTTCTTGCCCTTAGAGCTGGATATGCTTTTTTTCAGGAGGTGCCGACCGGGGCTGATCTGGGTAGTCAGTGGGACACCCACAAGGGAGAGCCCAGATCTGGTACCTCCATGCGCTGCTGGTGGGCAGATCACTCACATCCTGCTTTGGCATCCCCTGAATTCAGTAGTGCCTCCTGATATCCATGGGCATCAAAGTCCTTGGTCTTTCCTCAGGGAGAACAAGGCATTTTAGCATAAACACCATCATACTGGGAAGCTGCACTGGGTCTGAGTGGGATGAAGGTACCATTCTCACAGCAACACAACAAAGTATGGTGGTGTGCTGTGGATTTGGGGCTAAACCATGGTTGATACACTCTGATGTTCTGGCTATTGTGAGCAGAGCTTGCACAGTGTCAAGGCTGGGAACAGGCTGGGGTTGGATAAGAGGCCGTGAGGGGACACAGCAGGAGCTGCTGACCTGAACAGACCCTGTGGATATTCTGCCATGTGACGTCAGGCTCAGTGGTAGAATTTCAAGGAAAGAAGGAGAAAGTTTTTCTTTCATACATTTGTCAGCCCAAACAATCCTCATATGTGCTGAGACCCTGATTGCCAGGAGGCAGTTGCCTATCTTCCTGCTGATGGGAAGCAGAGAATGGATTCCTCTTTCTGCTTTGCTTGCAAGTGCATCTTTTGCTTTCCATAATAAACTACCATGAGTCTTCTCACTTTCCTGCCACTTCCTCCCCATCTTTTAGGAATGAAAACTGAAAGAACAGTTGAATGGGTGTTTTTCTGATGGCTGTGGTCAATGTGCCACAAGGAATCATGTCAAAATTTAACAATCTTGTACATTTCAAAAAGACAAAAAACTGAAAAATCAGGTAAAATGGGGGGGGGGGGGAGGTCCTTCATCATCTTCACTGCCCTTCTTTGGATGCTCTCTAATAGCTTAATATCTTTCTTATATTGTACCCAAAACTGTCACAACATTCAAGGTAAGGCCACCCCAGTGCAGAGCAGAGTGGGACAATCCCCTCCCTTGATTGGCTGGCAATGCTTTGCCTGATGCCCCCCAGGACAGGGTTGGCCCTCCTGGCTGCCAGGGCACTGCTGGCTCATATTCAGCTTGCCATCAACCAGGACCCCCAGGTCCCTTTCCTGGCACTGCTTTCCAATATCTCATTCCTCAGTCTGTACAAACATCCGGGGTTGTCCCATCTCAGGTGCAGAATCCGTCACTTCCCCTTGTTGAACTTCATGTGGCTGGTGATTGTCCAGTGCTCTAATTTATCAATATCTCTGTATAGGAGCTCCCTGCCTTTGAGGGAGTCAACTGTCCAGCTCTGGTCACTGCTGACTTTGCAGTGGACATGTATGGGCTGTGTCACATGTCAAAGCATAACTATTTGTTTTTTTCTGTGGGAGAGAAGTGTGGTCTGTGGGCAGGATTATTTTTTGGTCTGAAGCCAATCTGCAGAAACATGAGTGCAGGTATTGGGGATAAGGGTTAGACTGTCAGCTTTTCTGGCTGCCACTTTCACTTTAGTCTAGAGGTGACAGCAGAAATGGTGGAGGTTCCTGCTTCAGCTTACCTGATACAGGACTTGTTTGTGCCACCACCTCTTCTTTTCCTCGTCCTTGGAGGGGCATGAAAGCCTCCTGAATTCTGCATATTTATGCCCAAGACAGTCTGCAGTCAAATAGATGAGTTTGGAAAAATTAGCTCCTTATGAACAAATGGAGAAACACCTCTCAGCTGGGGTATCTTCAGCAAATCACAGCTTCAGCTCTTTCAGGATAAATGGTTATCCTGAGGAGGCTGACATCTGTCCAAGTACCCTGGCAGTACCACTGCTGGGAACCCCCGTGTTTAGCTGTTGCCACGTTGGAGTTTGGTGTGACATCTCTTTGCTCTGCCATGAGCTCCTGATGGTGGCAGATGCCCACAGCAGACAACAGTGGTGGAAGGACATGAGAAAGGTATCGGGTATGGCCAGGGATGTTTCCCTCCACCAGCCACTTGCTGACCACTTCCTATTCGCTCCACCAGCAGTTCCCCCCCAGGCCCGTGACTTTGAGGCATCTGTTCATAAAACTTGGTTTAGATGTGGTGGACATTCACAGGGAAAGCATGGGGAGCACCTTCTGCCTGTCACGAGCCACTGACATCAGAGTGCAGGAAGGGAAGGGATGAACTAGAGGACTTCAAGCTCTTCCTTGAAAGTCAGCAGAATATGTCAGGGGAAGCAGGGTGAGCAGCAGGAGGAGAGGGACCGGGGCTTCCTCACAGAGAGCCAGAAGGATAAGGCTGATGGCCCAGCAGACACATCCCGTAATGTGCTGGAAACTTATTCTATTAATAATCCCATTGTTTCAGCAAAACATCAGCCTAGGGAGATTACACTGAATCAGCAGTTTCTTTTCTTTTTTCTTTCCTGATTTAGTAATCCTGATTGCAAAATCGGAGTTGACCTATTGCTGCAGTCAGTGATGGTGCAGTGAGAAATGAAAGGCATCAAGAAAGCAGGGTGGGAAGCAGGAGCAGTGAGCTCATGCAAGGACTGAGCCAGGCATGCTGGCACATTATCTCTGGCATCCACAGTGTGGCTGAGATACCCACGTGCACTGGGAAATCCGCTGCCTGTGCGCAGAGGCTGACACCCAGATAGAAACACACCATGATGCTCCCAGGCAGCCAGATGCTCACCTGAGCAGTGGGAATGTGGCAGCTCACAGAACTGCACAGGGCTACAGCAGCTAGAAATAAAGATTTGACTAGCTGGGTAGCCAGCTGCAGTCGGAGGGATCGTGATTTTCTCCCCCAAAACAGAGAACTGTATGCTGAACACCAGAGCAGTGAAGATCAGGGCTGTCAGAATCAAGGGTGTCTACCCCTACTTTGCACCCATGCCATCTGGGTCACTGAGAGTGGCATGGCCACAGCATGACCATCAGTGGTGCAAAAATTTATCCCTAAACTTTCTCAGGGAAGGACTGCGCAAAGATCTTCTTGCACCTTTTGTCTTTAGGAGGGCTTTTGAGAACTACAGTTGCCAGATTATTTTTAATGCTTTGAAGTAAAATGGATTTTACTAGAAGTATTGTTAAAAGCTCCTCTGCTGTAAATGTGCTTGCTATGTGCACCTGAAATCACATCCATCCCTATAAACATCCACTTGGTGGCACAAATGCAGTCATTCTCAGCTCATCACCTGGGCCAGCAAGAGTAGGTGGCTTCAGGCTTGTGCAGAATTCTCAGCTGGACCCCACAAACCATCAGAAATGGGCTGGATATAAACCCTTATCCCAGTAAGGAGGTGATGCCATGAAGGTAGAGGATGCACAGGTCGTTACTGTGGCTCATCTGGTTGGTGATAACCTCTGAAGTCACCCTAATTCAAAGGGATATCTGAGCCCTTCACAATGAAGCAAATTATTCCAATTCCTACAGAGTGTAGCAGAAATGTATGATAATGGAGGATTTCTCTTCCTCCCTGCTGGTGACAAACCAGTTCACAGCTGCACAAGCACATTTAAAAGAAGAACACAGAAGCATATTTAAAAATCCCCACACATTTTTGGTTTAGGTCTTTCAGAGGTCTGTACATCAGGTGCAGAACAGAGGGCTTCACTTTGCACACAGGGTGAGGATTTCCAGCTCACCTCTACCTGAAGCTTAGGTCACACTTTACTGCATGGCCAAGCAAAGCAGTGAGGATGCAGCAGCCCCAGAGATGAACACAGACCTGCAACCCAGGAGCAAACTGTGTGACAGGGACTGCCCTGCCCCTCGAAGAGGGCAGCACGTGGTGGTGGCAGCGTGGATGAAGAGGGCTCTGCCCAGCACCTACCAACAGCTCCTGCCTGTGGATTTGGGCGAGTCAGTTTGCTTTGCAAAATCAAAATCAAATGTGACACAAATGGAGATGCCAAGATGCAAAATACCGTGATGTGAGAATGTGAGAAAAGAAATGGTGAAGAGGTAGGAATTGTGTCCCTGGGTGTGAAAAATGGATCAGGGAGGAAGTAGGAAGTGGAGAGACTGCAAGGAGGCTGCAAGTGTCTTCTCCATACCATCCCAGAATCATTTAGTTTTCAGCATCCCCCTCCCACCATCATTTGTTTGTCTTTACAGCTCCTCCTGATTCTTTCCCTTCTTGGACTTCAGTAATGCACCATCCCTAAGGTGTCATCTTGGTGCAAGTTACTGTGTGTTTCACTATTCAAAGGCCTTAACTTCCCCTCCCTGGGGATGGATCTCCAGGCTAACACTGCACATGACATCTTGACTACATAAGGAGATTTACTTGTGTCAAGAACAAAATGTCCATCTCATGCCTAACCCTGCTATAAAGCAAAGATGTTGAATAACTCCCAGTTGAGACTCTTTCAGGATCCTGCCCAAGGCTCCGTGGACTCCAAGTGAGAACACGAGAACAGCTGAACTTCTTAGCTGTGGGATTTTTTGAGGAACTGTTCAAATTACCACATCAGAGTTCTCAGTAGTTTATAAAAACTGAGCAGATAGGAAATGCATATCAGAAAGCATATCAAATCAGGAGACAGAGAAGAAGTCCCTTCAGTCTTTTGTTGCTCATAATCTGACAAGGCTTTAGGTTAGCCACGAGAAATTTGTCATGAAAATTAAAGACAGGTACGGGGAAGATCGAAATTCAAGTGATATGAACAGTCTCAGTATTTCCGACAAGATTGGGTTTGCCTCAGCTACTACCACAACCTTTCAGATAAGTGGTAAGATCTCTTTTTATTGAATGGATTTATATGGATTTTATCTAGTCTAAAACAAAACAACACATAAAAATGAAATGTTGCATATTAAATACTTTCTACAGTGATTTTGCTAGTAAATTAACTGCCATTTAAAAATAGAAGTAAGTCAAAATATCCTTTCTAGCCAAAAGCTGATGTGATCATCAGAAAAGAAATTAGTTATTTCCCTGTTGTAGAAAATGACTAATTTTCTTGAGTAAAACTTTCATGTCTTAATAGTTAAGATACTGAAATCACCAGACTGAATAAAAAAATGTAAATTTATGAATTTTTAGCTGAGTATAAATACTTAATTGCTGACTAAACCATTCTATTGTAAAACCAATTAAAACATTGTACTCTTTTAAAACCAAGACTTTAAACTCCTGATTACATTACTTTGAAAAAGGAAAAAAAAAAAAACAAAAACACTCAATTAAGGGTAACTTACTGAGTGTCTGAAGTAGTTATTAATACTTCTGAAATACTTTTCTCTTCCTGAAGGGCAAAATTTGACAAAGCAGTTTATTTCTTCTACTCTCTGCCAATAATGAATTGTTTTACATGACTTGTCTCCATTTGTTCTTCAGTTTAGTTTATTATTGATTTTTCGTTGGTTTTGATGCATACACGGATCACTGTTGGAATCGCATGCGTGCAGCACTCTGGATGGAGAGGGCATTGCTTTGAGCAACCCTCTGAATGGCAGCCTGGGACAACTAAAAGTAATGGAAACAAGATTTTTATTGATATAGAGAGGGGAGGACCACCATATTCATACTTGTTATAGGCTGGATTAATTCTTGATGGAATTGAGCTGATTAAACTGGCTAAGGAAAAGGCAGCCAAGTGAATTGCAGTGCAAAGCCCAGAGGAGAGGAAGGCAACCTGCCTTCTGACAGGATCAAGCACTCTCATAGACGAATCTTTCTGCTCCCCATCACTGGAAAACACTGTTAATTTATTGTGACCAAACCTGAAAGGCTGGAAGCAAGCAGATTTTGTAGGGGAGAGCATATGTGGGAGGGTACCTACCCTACTTCTGTTGTTTTTCAGAGCCTCAAGGCCAGAGAAAACCATCCACATGCTGTGCTCTAACAGCCCTTGGCGTCTACCTGTTGCTGCTGACGGTTGGCCAGGGGCTGCTGGTGCACAAAGGTAATGCCACAACCTCACCGTAGGCTTGGCATCAAAAGAGAGCTTTGCTGGGCACTCTCGGGGCATGGGCGAGCGGGAATGAGCACGCAGAGCGGAAACCTCTGAGGGAGCACAGAGGCTGCTCCGCACACCAGGAGGCAAAGCAGCCGCTGCAGGAAACTATTCCCCCAGCCCCAGACATGTGCTTTGCATTTGCAACTCCTGGCTGCAGCAAGGACTGGCACACGAAAATCACCTCCCTGGTTCAAACAGGGGTGGTCTTTATCCCCGGGTGTTCTCCCCAGGTGCTGAGGAGCTGCTCTGCCAGACAGGCATTTCCCAGCTAGACCGGACAGGGAATATTCACTGCATGGGCTTTTTGTTTCCTCAGTGCTTAAGATGGAGAGAGAGATATTGAAATTTCAGGAGCAAAATACCTCCTATACAGAAGAGATTCTGAAGAGCTCCTTTGCCAACAGTCTGATTTCGGAGAGAAGCTCTGCTGAGAAGTACATGGGACATGAAGAAAACTGGAAGAGAAGATTAGAAGAGGAAATTACCATAATCAAAAGCAGCAATGCAAATCTGATGATGATGGTGAGCAACATCACCCTGGTTGCAGGTATGGTTCCATTTCTCCATGCTAGCTCTACAATGGAGAGACCTGGCTCCTCTGCACCACTGGCAAAGCTGGGCCAAAAACATAGTTCAGATGAACTGGTAACAAGGGCAAGATTTGGTCTTCCTGTCTGTTAGTGGTGAGCCAGTGCCCAGGGTTAGAGTCAGCTCCAGACCCTCTGGCTGGGGAGCTGGACACATCTGGAGGAGCTGGAGCACTGCCCTGTGCAGACCCCAGATCCCCTTTGCAGCTGCACAAGTGGCTCTGGGATCCTCTCCCCTCCTGTAATCTGTCGATTTAGACTCTGGGTGCCCTCTGAAAGGGTGGTATCTTCAACCCAGGCCTCAAACCTGTCAATCCTATGCTGCTATGCTCCTCACTGAGTGCTGACTACTGAAAAATATCCATTAAATATTTATTTCAGGTCCTCCTGGACGCAAAGGAGATCCTGGTCCCCCAGGTATGTTGGTGAAACTTTTCCTTTTTAACTCTTTCTCTTTATTTCATCTAAGAGACTTTAAGTGAGGATTTGGGATTTCAGTCTCTAGACCCAGACCCTACGCAATATGCACATACACAAAGCCCTGGACATGAGGAGACCTGCTATACCTTTGGACTGATCCTTCAGGAGCCTTGGCTGGCCCGAGTGCTCCCACAGAGGTCGGTGACCACCATGGAGGAGCATTTTGTCTCTGCCTCCTCACTCATACCCTACCAGAGAAGTTGAGGGATTATGAACTGACTGTACCTGCAATAACTATCCCAAACCTCCTTGTGACACAAGACAGGACCAGTGAGGGGGTTTATGTGCATCCCACAATCAGCAGACAGTTGAGTTTCTGCCCCAGACACAGCAATTTCTGCTGTCCAGCTTACTCCAGGACAACTCAGGGAGACCTCCCCAGTGCCTGCCCTGTAGAGCCGCAGCTGAACAGTGCATGTAACAGAGGTGGTACCTTGCCCACCCTGTCCCTAGGAAAACAATGGCCCAGACTTAGGAATTAGCTGGGTGCAAGGGCTGTTCTCCACAGCCATGCACAAGCTGTTGCCCTGGGTACCTGGCGCTTGGGTAGAACTACACCTGCTGCAGAAGATGAATGTATCCAGGCTGTGAGGATGCAGCAAGTCCTGATCTAACGCTGGCTCCACTTTGAGCAGAGGTCAGACTATCAACATATCAACCATCAAGCTATCTATCATGCCTAGAGTAGGGTTTTCATGATATAAAATAATACAATATAATTTATATGCGCAAGCATGTGGATGTTAGTCGTCATTTCAGTGAAACCTCTTTCTGAGAGCTTTATATCTTACATAAGTCTGACTTTATACATCTTAAGTAGAAGAGTTATACAACATGTTTCTCCCATTCAACATGCATTAGTGGGCATCTCCTGGATAACTGTTGCTCAGTGGTCCCACATGGGCTGAAAGAAGGATAGGAAAAGAAAGCAGATGTTGTGTGTGGTTCAGAGCAGGGAGGACAATTGTACAGGCTGGTAAGAGCTTCCTCAGATCTTCCATCAGATCCCATATGCTCCAGTGCACCCATTAGCACAAGCTGCTCCAGAAAAGTGATTGTAGGAGGAATACCAAAAGGGATAATTCTGGAGCAGAAAGATGAAGGAGATATAATATCTTAAGTGAGGCACTGTCAAGTAATTCAGCTCTTTTGGAGCATGCTTATCACCTGCTGAGAGAAGAGAAGGCTGAGGGTAGATGAGATAACTCTGGAAGCCCAAGAATACTCTGTCCTGTATCTCCACTGTGGCTAGAAGAAGGGAAGGATGCAGACTGCAATAAGGGATATTTAACTAAAGGAGAAACCATTGTAGTGGTAGGGATAGTTTAGGGGATAGACTGTAGAGGTGTCATGGCACCACTGCAAGTCTTTAACACCAGGTCAGACAAACACCTGGCCAGACAGTCTGACAGAGTCAGAGGTGGATCCAAAAGACCAGCCCTGTTCTGTTACAGCTTTACAGGAATGCCACTGAATGATGGCAGGTTTGAGTTTGTTCCTGATGTGGCTAGGCAGAGGTGTTCCATAGGCTGCAGAGACAATTGGATTTTTTATTTTATTTATACATGTGTGCTGTGCTGTTTGATAGGTGTCCAAGGACAGAAAGGTGACACAGGTGAGAAGGGAGACCCAGGGTCACGTGGACCCATGGGTCCTCAGGGACAACAGGGAGTCCCAGGACTGCCAGGTTTCAATGGTAAGTGCAGAGGGCACAGTGTGACCCATCATCAGCACTCACATGCTGTGGTGCAGGGCTGCCCTAACTGAAGCACTGGGCTAAGCCTTGCTTACGCTGATGTCAGGATGTTGTTGCAGGTACCACGGGGGAGCCTGGACCTCCTGGGCAGAAAGGAGAGGCAGGTAAGCAGCCCAGAAGGTGAAGGTTCTTCTAGAGATATAGGCCTGATCTCTTTTAGATGGTGCTTCATGATGAGGAAAACTGCAGCCGACCTAGATCCCAGCCTGGGTAAGAGACGATGATTAGACGAAGAAACCCTGACAATGTTCCAGCGTTGTGCAAACTCATCCTGCAGCCCTGGCTGCCTCATCTGGGCCCCACTCACTGTGCTGGAGACTGAGAGGGAAAGAAGTGTCCTGAACTCTGGAGGGCTGTGTCTCCTTTCTGATGGGTGTGCACATGCAAGAGTGCTCTTTTAGGAAAGCACTTGTGCATGTCAAGGATGACAGACTGCAAGGACCTGGGTCTGTACAGCCTTTCACTCCAGAGCATCACTCCCTGCCTTCTCTCAATCTTCTCTCAACTAATAGTAATTGTGTGGGGGGTGTGAGATCAAATTGACCCAGAGCAAAACCACAACATGCACTAAGATTAGTGCTGCCAGAGGAGGGCTACGATTCAGACAGACCCAGCATTTGTTTTGCCTTCATAGGGTCAACTCTCTGTACAGTGCTGGGGCTGGTGATTGAACTGTCTTCTTATGTCCTGCAAGTTTTGTGTTACATTTCATATGTGCTGCTTTCACTCAACCTCAAGGTGTACGTGGACAGCCTGGAACTGTGGGAAGTCCTGGCCCTGAAGGCAGACCTGGTCAGAAAGGGGAGAAGGGGGACCAGGGGCCCAAAGGCAGCCCAGGTACAACACTACTCAAACCTATAACTCCTTGAGCTCATAGTCAGGCCTCACTTTGTATGATGGCTTCACCCTTACTGATTTGTTTTTAATTTTAGGAATAGCAGGCACTGCTGGACTCAGAGGTGAAAAGGGAGAACAAGGAATAAGAGGTAAAGGAGAATAAGACCAATTTGAGGTCAACAATGCTCATTATGCAGGCACGGGAAAGGAGGAGATCTGTTGAGTCCTGTTCTTGGAGCCCCAGTGCATCCCAGGGTGCTATGGCAGTCCTGGGCCTCTGCCAGGCTGCTGGGGGGTGGCTATTTACCAGAGAGTTGTTTCTACCTTCTGTAATCTGTATGAGGAGGCGAAGTTGTCTGAATTTTTGTATAAACAGAAAATACATCAGTTTAAGATGAACTAAACAACCACCTCCCTAATTTGAAGTTAAAGACAAATTTTCCTGGCTGGAGGGAAGATGGGGAAGGAGATATCCATCCTGACCTCTTCTGTAACATTGCAGGATGAAGCATCTTCAGAGGCCAATAGGGCACACAAACGAGGCCATTTCCGTGACGTTCCACTTGAAAAAGGTCACCTCTTTTCAAGGCACCCAAACAACAGGGTGGCATTCTGCTGTACAAACCTGTTCTGGTGTACTTCTCTTGAATCAGCCCTTTAAAATCTTGAATTTTCATAGTGTGTGCAACCTCATGCCCTTCAGAAGGTAACCAAGGTCCAAGTGCTGCACCTTTCTGCCTTCACTGACAGATGGATAACAGGGATGAGAGTCACCTGGCCCAGTTTTACATGCTTGCATATGTCTGATGCACCTAAATTTACATGTGTAGGCTGTCTATATGGTTAGTGAAGATCCAGCTGGAGGGAGAGTCTCTATGACATCAGTGCAATTTAAGAAACTAAATAAATCACCAGGAGTTGATCTACTGCAGCAGAAGATGTTTCTCAACTTCCTGTATTTTCTTTTTTGACATGGTCTGCAATAAATATGATGTCAAATAAGACACCCAATTTAGAGATAGATGTCTACAGAATAGACACCCAAACTAGATAAGTTAAAATCCCACACAAACACTAGTTTGCATAAGCTTTTATAAACGTATAAATATTGGTCTTATAAATGTATGTCTGTTTGTTTGTTTTGATGACCTTAGGTCTTCCAGGGCCACAGGGAGCAAAGGGAGACCAGGGCCCAAAAGGTAAACCCATGCTTTACAGTATAACTTACTCTGATGATGCAAAGCACTTTAAATGCCATGTTCCACCTTTCTGCATCAACACGTTCTTTCCTTGGGAAGACACAACAGGCAATTAGTTTTTTGCTTTACATCCAGGCATGCAAGGCCCACCTGGTGAAAAAGGAAGCAAAGGTGATTCTGGCACTCGGGGTCCAAAAGGAGAACCGGGACCAAAAGGAGACAAGGGAAACCGAGCACCATCTGGTAAGACTGTTTGCCAAGGGGTCTGTCGAGCTGACGGTGCTTTTGGGTTCAGGACTGTAGATCTCAGACTGGCACAAGCTGCTCTGGGGAATGTTACAGAGCTCATTTGGAGGAAATCAACAGACAGATTAGCATTCCCAGAAGAGGAATGTGCAGAGTGTCATGTGTACACTCCGGGAGGTGTGCTAAAAGACATGCAAGTAAACAGATGCATTAGATTTTCTCAAATCACTGGTCTTACAAAAAAACTGGAACAACCAGTATCCCTTTTTGCCTTGTGCAGAGACATCTTGCAGCACACCGTGTCACTGGATAAATCCCAGATAAACACTGCACTCAGGAACACAAAATAATAAAAACCTAATAGTGAGGGTATTTAACTACACCTTGCTAATTGTAGAACACAAAAGTTGTTCAAAAGGGCCAACACTATAGCTACTCTCCTTCCTTACTCCCCCCCTCTTCCCATCGCATAGGTTTCCAAAAACCCTAAGACCTATAGTCAAAAAAAAACCCCAAACAGTAGTTACAACAAGCCATGGGAAACAGCCAGTGCTACATATGATTTTTCTTTTAGTTGTTCACACAGAATAGTAGAGGAATCCTCAGAAATAAAATAAAATAGATCATGAGTGGCGCTTCTCCATGCACTCCTCTTCTGGAGTTTTGCTTCTGGAAGAGGAGAAAACTGTAATTTGTCTGGCTCCAGGACAAGCACTGCCCTGTGAGTGAGTTTCATCTTCTGGTCCCCCAGAAGGAGACAGCAGTGAAGGCTTTCTGGAGGTAACTTCTGGGTGAAGAGATCATTGGATTTTTTTAAACCTCCCTACTCTCAAGACCAAGATGCTGCACAGAAATGTGGAGGACTGTTGGGAGTAATTTTCTGCTGTCCCTGGAGAACAAATCTCAGGATGTAAATCTTCATTCAAGTACTTTAGGAGATACTGTGCCTACTTCTGGAGAGCCCAAAGGCTGTCAGAGATGTTTTTTTTACAGGTAGCAGTGGGAATGAGGTACATTTCCTGATGGTTATGGCAGGAAAAATGGGACTGCATGCTTTGTATGTGAGAACAAAATGGCTCTTTATTTAACATGCATCCTGCCTTATAAAGGGCAAGGAGAGAACCGACTAGAAAAGGGGTGTAACAAGGGAGGATCATGGGCAGAACATGCAAAACTGAGAGAAGGTATAACCATATAGGGAAAATATTGCATTAAGGCAGAAACAGACCAATCAGAGAGCAGGGTTCATGGGTACAAGGAATAAAAGGAGTTTCATATGAAACTGGGGTACATTCAACAAGTATAATATAATTAACCATGAAATAAAATACAAACCCCACATCAATATGTTTGAAAGAGTTCACTTACCCTCAAAAGGAGGTTTTGTTTTCATGGGATACTTCAAGTTCTTGATTTCTTCTCCAGTTTTCATAACTTTCATGATTTTCACCTCCAACAATTTCCCACAAGTGAGTGGATGGGATTTTGACCCTTTTCTTGTATCACACATTAGGAAGACTTTGTTGTATGTTATCATACTTTTCTTGCCACATTTCTTTTACATACCCTTAATCACTTCAGGGTTTTCATTTTCCACAAGGGGAGGGAGTCTTGACGTCTCCAACTCATACAAGTATTCAGAACAAGATAATAACTGGATTTCTTTGTATGCAGCTGTCAAATGTTTGGGGTTTTTTTTAATTTGGTACAGGTTTCCCAGGAGCAAAAGGGAGTAAAGGTGAAAAGGGACTGGACTTTCACTTCCTCTCTCACTTGCTTTCTGGTATCAAAGCTACCTGAGATCAGGACCAACATTCCCCTCTGCTTACACTGGTTAACCCACAGCACAGCTACCAGAACCAAGGGGTTTGTGCTCTGAGTTGCAGCCTGGTGTCCCCAGATGAAGGAGAAGGTCTTGAATTGTACCAGTAACCCACTGGGTTCCTGGTTCAGCCACTGGCTTCAGCCACAGAGATGGGAACATCCATCTGGTTTGGGTAGTCACTGCTTCTATCTTATGCCTGTATGACCCATAGATTTATTTTCTTCTCCCCTAAACTGCCAGCTGACTCTAGTCGTATACGACTCATGGGAGGAAGCACGAAGGGCCGTGTGGAAGTCCTCCACGAAGGGACCTGGGGAACAGTATGTGACGACCACTGGACCATGCAAGAGGCTGATGTAGTCTGCCGAATGCTGGGATTCAGCCATGCAGTCTTGGCCTTCACAGCTGGTGGAGGTGAGTCCACAACAACTTTCCATGTCCCCAGGCCTGGCATGGGTGGTTACATACACCCAGGAAGCACCACAACAGTGTCACCTACACAAGCAGCAGGAGAGTAAAGAGGATCTCAACAGGGTAGCTGATTCATAGACTCACAGAATAGAATCATAGAATCAGCCTGATTGGAAAGGACCTCTGAGATCATCAAGTCCAACCCTTGATCCGCTACCACTGTCATTACTAGACTATAGCACTCAGTGCCACATCCAGTCTCTACTTAAGCACCTCCAGGGACAGAGAACTCACCACTTCCCTGGGAAGCCCATTCCAGTGCCTGATTACCCTCTCTGTAAAGAATTTCTTCCTAATATCCAACCTAAACCTCCACTGGTAGAGCTTGAGACCGTGCCCTCTTGTCTTACTGGTGGTTGCCTTGGAGAAAAGACCAACCCCCACCTGGCTACAACCTTCTTTCAGGGAGTTATAGAGAGTGATGAGGTCTCCCCTGAGCCTCCTCCAGGCTAAACAACCCCAGCTCTCTCAGCCTCTCCTCACAGGAGTTGTGTTCGAGTCCCTTCACCAGCCTCGTTGCTCTTTTCTGGACCTGCTCCAGCACTTCAGTATTCTTCCTGAGGATGTGTAGCTCACTCATCTTGGGATGAGTGAGCTACACGTTAAGTGCTGCTTGAACTTATGCCCAAAAGCTTGATTTCCAGTAAGCCAACCATCCAACTCAAAAGTTGCCCACTATTTACAGGGGTCTCTTTTAAAAAAGTGCATAATCCTCTTTCTCTTGACCAAGTTTTTTTTGTTTACTTCATCTTTCAAAGGCACTGGAACAATTTGGCTTGACGAAGTAATTTGCAGAGGGACTGAAAGTTCAATTTTCGACTGTGCAAAGAACAGCTGGGGTTCACACAACTGCAACCACAACGAGGATGCTGGGGTGGAGTGCAGTTGATGGGACACAGAAGCTGCCCTGGGAGCCGCTGCCACCTCTACTCCCTCTGGGGCTTTTCTTCATGATGCAAACCCAATTTCATCAGGCTGTGCATATAGTCTCCTTACCACGTCATAAAAGTACTGACAAATTTGAATTTTTCATAAATCAGTAACGGCTGCAAGACCAACAGGTAACCTGAAACATCCCAGCTGTCACAAAACAATTGGAGCTCAGGCATGTGAGCCAGTTCACAGCTTTTTCAGCTACCTGACGTCGGCTCACCTGCAGGAGCTCACAAGTGTATGATCTCCAAGTGCACAGGGGGGAAAATGGTCCATGTTAGCTTAGTGCAGTAAGAGAAGAGGCTCAGTATGCAGTTTCTGCAGCTGAGAGGGCTAGTCCATCTTCATCACAGTACAGTTGTGAACCTGAGCCTAAACCCCCCAGGGAGCGTATACACCCAAGACAGCAGATGCTCAGAAAAAAACAGATGAACTCTCTGGCAGCAAATATAAATACTCTCCAGAAATTATGCTGATCACAGGTTAAAGTGCAAAAATAAATGCCTGGGATCTAGGCACCATAATATCCTGGTTTAGCACAGCCCTTAGTTTTTGACCTTAGCCAAGTCCCTTGCCTTCTCTCTCAGTGTTTCCTAACCAGTCTCCAGGAGCAGTACCCTTTACCTTATCTGGTGCACAAAGCGAAGCATTTAATACCTTTAGAAATTAGATGATCCAGTAAAGCAAAAGGATGACAAATAAAAAATATATCAAATCATGGTGTATCAAAAATGAATGAACTATTGTTTGGCATTAAAAAGTAAGTAACTAAATAAATAATAAATAAACAAATAAATGAAATTGCACATACATCTGTAGATGTATTAGGCAGAAAATATTTGACTGGGCTTTCCTGGCTCCTATGCGATTGATGCAATTCGCTATCAATAAATAAAGTTTTCCCATTGAGGAGAACGGCTGGGCACATCCCGACGGGATGCCAGGGGCACGGTGAGATCTGCAGGATGACCCGCGGGTACCGCCCCAGGACCCATCAGCCACCTCCCCGCGGCCATCCCCGTCCCCGCCCGCGGCTCCCGGTTATTTCAGATGCTCCTTCCCGGCACTAAGGGGAGCTCAAGGCCCACCGCCCGCTCCGCAAAGCCACCGCGGGAGGTCCGCGACATCGAGTCGGTCGGCCCAGATGCTGCTGCTGCTGCCAGCTCGTCCCCGCTGCTTTATCCCACGGGGAACCGCGGTTCCCGCGCATCCCTCTTTGCTCTGCTCTTGTGACACCCCCACCTACGGCACCGCGTCCAGCTCCGAGACCCCCGGCACAGGAAGGACACGGACTTGCTGGAGCGAGTCCAGAGGAGAGCACGAAGTTGCCCAGAGGGCTGGAGCACCTCTCCTCTGACGACAGGCTGAGAGAGTTGGGGCTGTTCAACCTGGAGAAGAGAGAGGCTTTAGAGCACCTTCCAAATATCTGCCAGAGGTCTAGAGAGGGATTTTTGATGAGGGCATATAGTGATGGGACAAGGGGGAATGGCCTTAAACTGAAAGAGAGTAGGAGTATATTAGCTATAAGGAAGAAATTCTTTACTGTGAGGGAAGAGAGGCACTGGAACAAGTTGCCCAGAGAAGCTGTGGCTACCCCATCTCTGGAAGTGTTCAAGGCCAGGTTGGATGGGGCTTTGAGCCACCTGGTCTAGTAAAAGGTGTCCCTTCCCAGGGGATTGGAACTTAAAGTTCCTTTTCAACTCAAATTATTCTGTGATTCTATGATCCCAGGGGTGGGAGGGCAGTGGCAGCCACAGGGGCCTGGTGATGCAGCCAGAGATTTCCCGTGATATCCCACATGTGTTGCAGGGAAGGACAAAAATGTTTTTTATTCTGTTGAACAGCCTGATGGCAAGTGCAGCAGGATACCAAGCCCAAGATCAGAGCAGGGCACTCAGTTTGAGGGCATGACTCAGGCTGTGAGTTTCAGTCGTCAGTAACTCCAGCTGTTGTCAACCAGTCCTCCCAGGAAGAGATCTGGAAAAAAAAAAAAAGGAGTGGAAAATACTTTTCTGATGCAGTCTCCTGTGCCTGACTGTTTGACTGCTGGGCAGTTTGGACACTTGTGCAGGTTTTGCTCTCCACTCTTAATAAACACATCTTTTAAGGCAAAACCCCAGATTTTGCCTGCATGTCAGAGGTGTCCCCTTGGATGGACAGCTGCATAGCTCAACCCCAGCCTCACCACTGTGGGGGCAGGACTCAACTCACAGCAGTGGCGTTTGGAGTCTGAAAACCAGTACTGGAACCTCCAGGCAGAAGGTCTGGAGGGCACTTGTGCCCCATGTGTCCACTTCTCCAGTCTAAGAGAAGGTCCACTGGGGCAGGAAGAGTGCCACAAGTCACCATGGGATAGTTGGTGAGCAGCGAAAAAGTCTCTTGCATCTACAAAAAAATGTAGTCCTGAGGTGTGGAGGCTGCCTTGCACGACCACACCACCCCCCTCCCCAGATACTCAGCTCAGTGCTATTGGATCCCAGCTTCTAGGTCTCTGCACTGCCCTAAAAGAGCTGTCTGTGACAGCTGAAAAGGAATGATGCAGCTTTGCTTATCATTTACACCCAGCACCAATTAAAAAGACTTAGTTAAGCAAAATGCAATTACACTGTCATGGATAAAAGGGATACAATTAATTTGAAAGGAACACTTTCCCTTAGGAATAATGTTATTTCCAGATGCTCCTATCCCTGTCCCTGACCATTGCTTGTGATCTGAAGAGATTTGGGGTGGGGAGAATTGGGGGTATTTGTGTAGTTTGTCTTCCCTTCTTGGCACTTCACATGTATTTCTGAAGTAAGTTAGCAGAGTCCCTTGATAATACAAATCTTCTCTGGAGCCCTAAAACATAATTTCCAACATATCCGGCACTACTTTTCCAAGAAGATGAACATTACATAGAGGCTGTCTGGCACCAAGCTGAAACTTTTCTCCTTTTGGGGAGAAACTGGGCCTTCTGTCAGCTGTGAAGGAATGGGGAACAGCCAGACACTGTGGGATACATGCTGTGGCTGGAAGGATTTACCAAAATCCACAGGGAAGCAGCTGAAGGGAGGTTTCTCATCTCATGCCCCTCGGGAAGGGAGGAGACGTGTGTCATCCTTCCCAGCCCACTGCACAGGCAGGCACCCAGGCTGCTGCTTCCCCAGCCAACACCTCTTCTATGGACAGCTGGGTTCAGAAAACTCAGCTTTGCAGAGAGTGGACAATTTCACAGCATCGGAGCTTTAGGTCCTGGAGAATCCTGCTGAGAATGTGTGTTAATAAATAGAGTGTTTGTCTAACCATTTCCATGTCTCAGTATTGGCATTACTGTCAAACCTCAGGAAAATGACATGAAAGAGAAGCCTGAAGGCTGCCCCTGGAGTTTGGTGAGATGCTGAACGCAGTTTTTGTATCCTCAGCAGAAGTCACACATAATTCAAGGCCCCACTCCGGCACACAGAGATGCTGAAGAGCAAAATATTTACTAACTAAAAGCCAGTTCTCCAGGTTTCCAGTGCCTGAAGTTTATGCCTGATGCACGCATAACACACCTCTCCTTACCAAAATTACTGACAATTCCAGTTGCAAAAGTAAGAAAGGCATTTATTGCACTAAGGATGTCATTTTAAAAGATGTGATGAAGAAATTACTTTTCTGCTCGTTACAGACAGGTTACAACATTAATACACATGCTGGCTGTATCTAAAGATTAAACTCATCACATCATACAGGGGTCACTAACTGTATTTTCATCCTTCTCTTCTGAAGTCTTCTGATGTTTTAGATCACATCGCCACAAATCTGCCAGCACATTTCTTAGTTTTTTCTGCTAAACATCATGGTAGAAGGCAGCATCTGGCCTCAAAACACTCAGGCTTTTTTCTTTTGTCTCACTTGGTGTCAGCACTGGTCATGTTTTGCTTGGTTAACTCTTTTCCCACTGGCATGGTCCAGGAAAAGCCCAACCAACCATCCAGTGTCATTCACAAGCCTGAGCCACAAATGTTTCTGATCTCCACAAAGGGACCAGTTTGGCTCTCACTGGCACTGCCATGAAACTAGAGCATGCATTGGTGCAGGCAGCTGCTCTGCTGTGACACAGAGCTGAATTTAACCCAAGGTATTTAAACAAACTCTTAGTGGTAGCTCCAAATGATTATCCATTTATTTCAGTATTTGTCTTTTTCAAATGTGACCTAAAATCTATAAGTAATTAGTTATTGTACTGACTACGGTATTGCAAAATGCTTCCCTTCATTTTTTATTCAGACTCTGAGCTATAACTCCAAAATCATTCTAGTCACACCAGCCTTCAAAGGTCTAAATGGGGAGGAAGGGGGGCTAACGTCTTAGTATCTTTGAGATTTGCAAGAATATTTGAGGATTTTCTGGGGATTCAGTGTGAGATGAAAAAAAAAAAAAAAAGAGGTTTGCAGGCAAATAGAGGAACTTATGCCTCCAGTTCAAAAGGAAAGACACATCCAAATAGAGAAAGATTTAAATGCTAAAATGCTAAATAAATATTGTTATTCAACAGCAGTCGTTGTCTTTTGAGTCCTAGGTTAAAACTACTTCACAGGGACTATAAAAGCTCGTTACTCTCCTTTGTTGAAGCTAAATTAATTTTAACAGCACAAGTTCCAGAGTAAGGAAGAATTGCCTCCTAAAACTCTTGCTAAGCCACGTAGGCACCATAGTGGGGTAAACCAGGAGAGGATTTTGGAAGCTGTTAAATAAGTAGGTGAATAAGAAAATAGTACACAAATTGCATTTATTCTGGGTCTGCTTGTGATGTTTTGTATAAATACTAACAAATAAGTGGCTCTGTGAAGGTGCTGGTTCCAAACCATCAGGGTATCAGCAGCACAAGGAAGCACAATTCTGCAATGACCTTGCCTTAGGAAATCCCAGTGCAGTCAAAGGATTCAGAGGGCTTTCAGGCTCAGGCCATAAATCACTCAAGATATGAATTACTGCCTTATTAGAGCAGATTCATAACTGTAATTCCAGATAAATACGCAATTAGTCTGATCTCTTCTGATAGCATGCCAACAGGGGGAAAAAAAAATAAGTCACCTCCTACTAAGCTGACTAGCTATTCAAAGGAACTGCAGCAAACTTTCACAGATGTTGAGGCCAGCGGGACCATTCTAATAATCACGTGTGACCTTCTGCACAGTGTAGGGCTGAAAAACCCACCTGGGAATTTCTACTCATTTTGAAACTACAGCTTGTTCTCTAGGAAGGTGCCTTATCTTGGTTTAAAGATTTCTAAAAGCAGAGAAAGCACCATATTCCTGAAAAACCTCCACATTCTTGCCATGGTGATTAACCTGCTGGCTCTCTCCCATTAACTCCACTCCTGACCTGTGCTGGGACACCAGGAGCTAGCTGAGGTCCTTGAGCCACCAACGAGTTCACCCAGACAAGGGTTAAGAGAGAAAATAAGTTTTCCTTAACAAAATTAATTTCACCTGGCAGGGACAAGCCCAAAACCAGGTTTTGGAAGAGTTACTTACTGTTCCAAGCAAGCAGCACACCTATAAAAGGATGCTAATGCCCTTGCCAGAGTGCAGAGAAAAGAGGAATGTGCAGCACGTGCCAAGATCAAACTGGAGGTGACCTTGATAGTTTCACTCTTGTTCAGCATCTGAAAGGGAATTTCTGGAAGGCTTTTGCCGTGGTAGTTATGGCTCACACAAGCACCGGGAGTCTGCAGTTACTAT